AGGGAAGATATAAAGAGCTAGCTTAGTATTACAATTGGCTAGGAAGACATAATTCAAAAAGATAACTTGCAAATAGATACTTGAGAGTTCACTGTTTCTCAAATCATGGAAAAATTATTATCTAACTATAAGTCAATATATTCAAGAAATGTCACAATTTTAAGTAATACCTAAATGTCTCTACTTTACAAACACATTATTCTCTCCCAACATCAATTTCAGTCATTTTTTTTTTGCAAGAGAATCAAAGAAATAGCATGATATTTTCTCTTGGTCAAACAAAAAAAAATTTCTGTTTAATATGAATGTATAAGTAGAGCCTATATCAGATTACACATCATCTTGGAGATGGGGGAGAAGAGAGAGGGGAAAAAAATTTAAAATTCATAATCTTACGGAAGTGAATGTTGAAAACTAAAAATAAATAAATTATTAAAAGTATTTCAAGGATGTAGTTAAATAGACAGGTTCTCTGGTACCATTTATTAAAATATCCTTCTAGAAATTAAGCATTATCTCATTAAATATTGAAATAATTTTCTATTTTTTTGGTTAGGTAGACTACTTGGAAGTGTATGGGAAGTTGCTTAAAATTGTATTACATTCACTTTTAAATAAACATAAGTTTAAAAACTGAATGTGATAGCCCATAGTAGCCTATGATTCAACAGTAATTTATATTTTAACCGACATATCAATACTTCAAAGATCTTGTATGTTGCCAAAGATCTTGTATGTTGCCAGGGAGTAAACCCTCAAAACATATGTCACCCCTCTCTGGCTTAGTAAGTGGACTTTATAAGTTGCTGCAGCCAAATATCTTTTCTCTTTTAATGAATCTCTCAACCCTGGGCACAGCTGGTGATGGACTTCTCTATCCTTAACTAGGCTTGGTCCTAAGACAAGACATTTAAACACCATGATCAGGTCTATATTCAAAGTTTTTCCAAAAGGGAACCTGCCAGATTTGCCACATTTCCAATCAGCTTGAGCTTGGGCTTCACTGGCACAGATTTTTAGAACTCAGGGTCATACTACCAGTATATTTTTATTAAAAATAAGAAACTGAAAAATGTTCCTAATAAATGTTGTTACTAAAATTTTAACTATAATTAATGACTTTTCTAAATTAGCTCGAAGCCAAGTAATCAAAGTAGATTCATTTTCTTTACTTTTAAGATGGAACTTTTATATTGCAATATTGATTAATTTTCAAATGATGTAAACTTTGTCTTGGCATGGCTTTTTTTCACTCAGATGCTTTAAACAACTAAAGATTCTCCTTTTCCCTATTCAATAGTGCACTCTACTTCTGTATTCAGTGCAGGCACATAGTATTTGATTTCAGTATTTGCCCCATATTGTATTATGATGAAACATATTACAAAAATAATCATGAAATATACTCCATAGCCAAAATCAATACCTCCTAGGTGTGCAATCTATCTCTAAATTGACTCTTTAAATTGAAATGTTTATTTTAGATATTAAACAGTTATACAGTTTTGATGTCTTTTTTTCCAAAATATGAACAAGACAAATAACTCTCTTGATAAATAGTTCAGACATTTGGTGAAATGTAGTAAAGGATTTTTTTTCCTTTACAGAGAGATTTTTTTTCTTTTTTTTAATTTATTTATTTTCAGTTTTCAACATTCACTTCCACAAGATTTTGAGTTCCAAATTTTTTCCCTATCTCATCCCTCCCCCCACCCCAAGATGGCATGCATTCTGTATACCTCTTCCCCTAATCTGCCCTCCCTTCTATCTTTCCCTCCCTTCTCTTATCACCTTCCCCTTCTATTTTCCTTTAGGGCAGGATAGATTTCTATACCACAGAGGGATTTTTAAAGTTATTTACATCTATATGTAGGTAATGCAACTGTTAGATTCAACCATCATAGATCAACTAATTAAAAGTATCTGATATGCTCCATTTTATAATGTCATCATTAATAATTCAAAAATACTAATATAGCACTTAATGTGTTGATATTTATGTAAGCAAAATGAACCTCTGGCAGGTCTAATCAAGCTGGAAAGTCTTAGAATTTGGACCTACTCAAGGATTTTCTTCTCATCAGGGGACAAATCTAAATAGATTCAAAAGGCTTGTCACCTGGAGACTGGCCCCAAGTGATGAATGTTTTAGCTATGGCAACTCAAAACATAGAAGTGGTATAAACTATGCCAGTGGAGGGAATAACCACACTGATAAAATTATAGAACAAAAATCTTCTGAGGTTCAATATTGCCTCTAAGATAATGTGCCAAAAACCTCAACTTGGCATCCAAAGTCCTCCAACACCTGGAGGACTCTGATCATATTTCTTATTTCTCTCCATCACAAACTCTCTGTTGTGCTCAATTTGCTTGCTAGTCATTCACCACATAGCATTCTATTTCTTGATTCATTGCCTTTGAAAAGATTCTTCCTCCTATCTGAAATGTATTTTCTTCCTCACTTTTCCCACTGAAAATACCAAGCTTTTTATAAGCAAAAGATTAGATGGTACTGCCTATAAAATATTTTTCTTGACCACCAGGTCTCCATTAGTGCCAATACTGTTATCTCCCTCTTGCAATCACTATATATGGGTTATATAAGTATACATAAATATATTCAGTATAGATTTCAACTTCATTGAAACAGATGTGCCAAGGTCAGGTATCCTCTAGTGAAACCCACCACTTTCAAGCTCCCTTTTTGTGTGTTATCTTCCCCCATTAGATGGTAAGTTCCTCAAGAAGCAGGGATTATCTTGTGCCCAATGTTAAGCACAGTGCCTGGTGTATAGTAGTATATATAGTCTGTGTTTGTATACATATACATTTACTTATTTGTTTGTTTGTTTTGTGCATAATGCATTTGTAAAGTGGAAGGAAAATTACTTGAGGTCAGAGATTATTTTGTTGTTTTTTTTTCTTGTTTTTTGGTGAGGCAATTGGGGTTAAATGACTTGCCTAGGATCATAGAGCTAGTAAGTGTCAAGTGTCTGAGGTCACATTTGAACTCAGGTCTTCCTAAATCCAGGGCTGGTGTCTCTATCCACTGTGCCATCTAGCTGCCTCAAAAGATGTATTCTTTTTTTGGGGGATGAGGCAATTGAGTTAAGTGACTTGCCCAGGGTCACACAGCTGGTAAGTGTCAAGTGTCTGAAGCCAGATTTGAACTCAGGTCCTCCTGACTCCAAGGCCAGAGCTCTATCCACTGTGCAACCTAGCTGTTCAGAGATGAGGAGGAGGAAGAGGAGGAGTAGGAGGAGGAGGAAGGCAAGGGGGTGGCTTTATATTACTAGTATTCCATACCTTGCCCAGATGAAGTGACTACAAATGTTTGGTGACTTGAATTCAATGACCAAATCAGGAAACAAAAAATAATACCCAAATTCTATGTCTAAGTTTGCTTATGCACCTCCTTATGAAGCCTTCACTAATCTACCCACAAGTGATTTCCTTCTTTGAACTTCATAACATATTTATCTTAAACTTAGGACCAACATATACTGTAATTTGTAAATTTCTCAAAGGATCAAAAGATTTATAATTCAAAAGGTTCTTTTTTAAGAAATCCACTCCAACTTCTTTATTTTATATTTAAGCTCCCTTTGTAAATTATAAACCTCTTGAGGTCAGACTAGAGTATATTTACAATTTGTCGCTCAAACTTCCAATCTATTAGTATATCTCAGACATAAGAACTACTCAATAAATAAGTGTTAGAGGAATGAACTTTCATTGTCACGCATGCCAGGGTTTAATGTCACATGATAGAAAAATGAAGGCATTGTTGTTATAAGACAAATTCAGGAATAAGAAAATATACTGGAAATAATAATTGTGATTGTAATAATTATTATTTTTATTATGGAGAGGGGATGGAATTAGCATTTGTTAAATGCCTCCTTTGTGCCAAGTATTGTGGTAAGTATTTAACAAATGTTATTTTATTTTTGTTGCTATTATTTTTATTATTAAGAAATAGGAGGTAGGGGAATAGGCAGTAGCTAGCTAAATGACATAGTGGATAGAAAAACTGACCTGAAGTTAGGAACATTTGAGTTCACATATAGCCTCAGAAACTTACTAACTGATGAGACTGACTTCTGCCCAGCAACAATGAGAACCTTGTCTAAATCTAAATCTGCTCAGTAACAGGGGTCGTCTATTTGTTGAGAAGAAAATCTTGTTATTTTCTGTGTATGTGACTAACCTCTATGATTTGTGCCCATATCCTTGAATGTTGCAAGTTAAGTTCCCTGTTTTGTTAACACATCCCTGAACTGTTTTGTAAAGTATGCAACACACCTGCTTCCTCTTTTTGCCTCCCCTTCCCCGTGGTCCCAACACATCAGCTTCCCCTTCCTGACATCCTTACCTGTGGTTAACTGCCCACATAGCAGCATACCCCCATCCCTAGCTGAGTGATCAAAACTTGTGTATAAAAGCAAGCTCCTGTCTTTTCTCAAATGACCAGTCCTTCTTCCAGGGCTAGCCCTCTGCTTTTGTATCAACAAAGCCCTCTCGACTAGGAGAACCTCTGTCCCTGAATCCTTTCTTGACAAATCAACTCTGAACCTCATCTACCTCTTCACTAATTTTATATATATATGCATGTATATATGTATATATGTATATACATATATACATACATACACACACACACACACACACACACACACATATATATATAAGACCATGGGCACAGTCAATTTATTTCTGTCTACCTTAGTTTCCTCATGTGTAAAATGGGGGTAATATAAGAGCACTTACTTCCCAGTGTTGTTGTAAGGATCAAATGAGATATTTGTAAAACCTTTGTTATGTAAATGTAAGCTGTTATTATTATTATAAAAAGGTCTTTTTTTCCAGATTTAAGTGAATAGCAAGAAAAGAGACACTAATACAAAAGTACAGCTTTTCATTTGATATTATTAGTCTGGACTAATTTACATTTGTAACATGATATCAATAAAAAAATATTTTTTGTAGAGTCATACCTCCCAGGGTAGCTGATAGCAAGAAGTGGGTCCCATATTTCTTGATGAGGTTTTCCGTGATTTGTTGAAGGGTGGGTCGACGTCCCAATAGTCTTATATTGCGGAAGAATTCAGGAGCAAGAGGCAGTGGGGAACCAAGGAAATTTCTTCTCTCCACAGCAAGGTTATTTACTTTCCAGCGGCCAAACTCCCTGAAAAGCAAATTTACTCTTATTCATAAACACAAATTCTATTCATATGTTTTCATTTGCAAAGTTCACTTGATATTTAGCCTGGGGTCACTGTATTACAATTCTTTCTTGTAGCCATCTGTCATATGCTCTATCAAGAAGTGACATTTATAATGAACTTAAATAGAGTGAATACTCCATTACCGAAATATGAAGGAGTGTTACAGTTTCCATTGATTTGTTTTTACATGATGGCATGATACAAGAAAAGGGAAAGTACTTGTGATGTATGTCATGGACAATACGGTGGCCTCAAAGTCAGTAAGTCATCAGTTCCAGTTTTGCTTCTCACTCATACTAGCTTTGTGACCATTGACAAGTTATGAATCACTCTCAGTGCCTGTTGGCAATTCTCTACAGATGTCTTGCTAATCTGCTTTGATGCAGTAAGTTTACACACCAATAAAATCATTGGTCCACATCAAATTAGCAAACAAAACCTTAAGGAATAATCAGGAAATAGGCAGTCATTCTTTGAGAAGCTAAAGAAACTATTCCGCCTCCTTATCTATTAAATGTACTTCATTTCCCCCTACTTGTCTCAAAATACTATAGAAAAAATCAACTAACTACATGCTGAAAAACAAAAAAAATTTAAAAAAAATACTCCTAATTATTTTCTGGATCTTAAGAGAAGCTTAGACCCTGACAAGAATCTTTGCAAAAAGGCAGGAGATCTTTTCTTTTCTTAATAACTCCACAGCATGCAATATGGGACATGAGCATGGGGTACATGTTCTTTGAAATTCAGTCAAAGATGTTCCCTTTTCTGTGAACACAGTGGCCTGTTGCTTTTGCTAACTAGATGTATAATTATGCTAGCTGCTTCAGAACAAGAATATTTTGTACTTTTCTCACTGAATAAATGTACTGACTACTGTTTATCCCTTTTCTTCTGTGGATTATATAAATGAGTATATTATTTCCATTTGGACACTATAAAGATGATTCAACATCAAATATTCACTTTACAGACTTCCAAATACTATAATAGTATATACAAATAAATAAAACATCTAAAGACCATTCATAATTTTTAAATCAAGTTGTGACATGACATGACTTTAGTACTTAGACAGTTGGGCTTGTCTATTTAAGGCACACATCCAGGTGGAGATATACAACTATCACATACAAACACTGTCCCCACCACAGCCCAACAACTCCTCTCAAGGCCCAATCATAAGTTTCTCTACACATGCCAAGACAAATTAGCATTTATTATCCCATCCTGTTCTATCCTTCCTTTTTTGAAAGAATCATACTGGTGTTTAGAATTTTTCTCACATGTACAAGGAATGAAGAATTCAATTTCATAAATGTATTAAATGTTTACTACTGAGCACAAAGCACTATACTAGGCATTGGTGATACATAAATAAAATATACAGATCCTGTCTTTAAGAAGCTTACACAAACAAACAGATATGACATGTAACTTAGAAATAACATAATAGGTCAAATGCAAAGGAGAACTGAAGACAAAACAGTGTCTTATCATAGATTATGGAATTCAAGAGTTATAAAGAAACTTCACTATTATACAATCCAACCTACTTTCTAAAGTAGGAATAGTATATAAATTCTCTCAAAAAGTAAACAATCTTACAACCACTAATCAAAGATATCTAGAGATGGGGAACTGGCATCATGGAGGAATTGGCATCTGAGCTAGGCCTTGTAAGAAGGGAAGAATTTTGAGAGAAAATGAGATGGCAAAGAAGAAAGCAATATAGTCTTGCTTCCCAGATAACTATTAAAATGAAGATCTCAGACTAGCACCAGACTAAGTACTGTCCAAAAATATAAGGAGAAACTACAATGTGTTATCTATTCCATCAAATATCACAAATTTGATACACAGGTCAAAGTGATAAATATAGAAAGTATGGAGTAGGATGAGCCAGCATCATTGACCCAAATTTTGACTGCAGAAGAGGGCAATCATGTTATTGCTCCAAATTAGGAAAGAGGATTTTGGAGTTACAACCTGAGAGCAAAAGAGGGCCATGGCTATGTTGTTCTGTTACTGTTGTTGTTGTTGTTGTTGTTGGAGTAATACTCTAGCAGAACACCTGATAAGACAGCCTACAATCTTACAGGACCATTAAAGTCCTGGTAAATGTGTACAAACTTAGCCATAATTCAAAGTCCCAATCTGAAAAATGAAGCTGGGAGAATTCATTTGTATTTCAATGAAAAGATAAAAAGCTATTGTGAGGCCAGATATGTTACAAGAAACAAGCCCAGAAAAGAAGAATAACTGCAGAACACTTATAATCAAGGCCACACACACATACACATACACACACACACACACACACACACACACACACATAATAACTTGCATACCAGATTAATCAGAATTTCTAGAATATTAATTAATAATAATAATAATAATATATAATGTAATGTATGTAGTAAATATGTATAAGATTACATTTTCTAGCATATGTCCTAAGCCCTTTAAAATTATTATCTCCTTTGATCCTTACAACAATGCTTAGGGGGAAGGTATTGTTATTATATCGATTTTACAGATGAGACAACTAAGCCAAACAAAGGGTATGTGACTTGACATATGTGACAACGCTAATAAGTATCTGAGGCTGAATTTGAACTCAGGTCTAACTGAATCCAGGCCTGGCAACTCTATCTACAGAGTCACATAGCTGAAAGAATTTCTAAAAAAAAAAATGAATTGAAAAGTTTTATTATGGAAAAAAATTAGAATTTTAAAGGAAAGAACTGGAAAATCAATAAAAACTGTGGGAGAAAGACATGATATTTAAAAGTATAAGAGGTATAAAACCTTATACAAGTTAAACACTATCTGAAAATCAGCATTGACTAAAAAGAAAATAATCAATCCATAAAAACAGAACTGTTGAAAGTCAAAAGATTGAAAAAAAGTTTTAGAAACTCTAAGGTATATTATCTAAAAATGAACCAAGGTGAAGTAATTTAAAAATCATTAAAAGCCCTGAAAGTTTGAAAAAAAATTAAAAATCATAACTAAAAAAAAGGAAAAAGCCTAAATATCATCTCAAAAAAATTTGTTAAAAAATACTGTCCAGACCTATTAGAACAAGAGGACAGCAGGTCAAAATGGTGGAATTAAGGCAGGGTTTTGTCCAAGCTCTCCTAAATTCTCCTCCAAACAACTTCAAAATAATCCACCAAAAGGAATTCTGGAGAGGCAGAACTGACAAATGGATGGGATGAAACAATTTTCCCCTCTGAGGCAACTAAGAAGGTGAGCAAGAAAGTTTTATTTCACTGGGTTGGGAATGGAACTCAGTCCAGTGTAGGCCTTACTTAACACAGCAAACCAGTATAATGCCTTGGGGGAAAATAATTGATAGCAGTGGATTCTGGTGCTCTCAACCTATAGACTATAAGGGGGTCCAAAAATTGGTCAGAAAAAGATTATAGGGAACATTTTCTTGGCACTGGGTATAGAACTTGATTGCACTGTCTACAAAGGTTGCAGTCCCTGGAGAGGAAAAACAATAGTATATAAGAGTACGTGGCCCCAGGGGATTCTAGTCACAATAGCAAGGCAGAAAAGAGTACTTGTAGTCACTCACAGACCAGAGCACAGACCAGGAGAGCAGTTACCACATCTCTGCTTAAATCATACCACCTTGGAAGGAATGAAGATATACAGACCCCAAGAAGTCACTCAGAAAACAACAACATGAAAAACATGAAGATAGGGACAATGCCCCTAACACCCTGGGAGCAGAGTCCAACTTTAACATAAAGTTAAAAGTCAAGATATAGTCTGGAAAAATGAATAAACAACAACAATAATAAAAATGAACCTGACCATGGAAAGTTACTATAATGACAGGAAGAGTAAAACAAAAATTCAGAAGAAGACAACGAAGTCAAAACACCTACCTCCTCTGCCACAAAGATAAATGTATATTGGTCTCAGGCTCAAAAAGAATTCCTGAAAAGGCTCAAAAAGGATTTTGAAAATCAAATAAGAGAAGTAGGGGGGAATGGGGAAAAGAAATTAGAGTGATACAAGAAAATCATGAAAAAAAAATTAACAGCTTGATGAAGGAGGCACACACATACACACAAATACTGAAAAAATAACACTTAAAAAAACTAGAAGATATTGAATGGTAAAAGAGGCACAAAAATTCACTGAAGAGAAGAACTCCTAAATAAAGGATTTGGCTAAATGTAAAAAAAATTTACAAAAATTTACTGAAGAGAAAAAGAAGAATTGGACAAATGGAAAAAGGGGTACAAAAATTCACTGAAGAAAGGAACTCCTTAAAAAGTAGAATTGATCAAGTGGAAATTGAGGTACAAAAGCTCACTAAAGAAAACAATTCCTTAAAAAATTAGAATTGGATAAGTGGAAACTAATAACTCCATGAGAAATCAAGAAGCAATTAAAAAAAAAAGAAAAATATGAAAAAAATAGAAAAAATGTGAAATTTCTCTTTGTAAAAACAACTGATGTGGAAAATAGATCAAGGACAGACATTTAAGAATTATTAGATTACCTAAAATCCAGATTGAATGAGAAAAACAAAAAGCTCAGGCATCATTTTTAAAAAATTATCAAAGAAAACTGCCTTCATATTCTAGAACCAGAGGGTAAGATAGGAACAAAAAGAATCCATCAATCACCTTTGAAAGAGATCCCAAAATGAAAACTCCCAGGAATATTATATAAAACATGATCATAAAGATTTATAAGTGAATTATATCATTTAAAAAGTAATTTCAATCTGTTACTGTTTGAAAAAAGAAAAAGATTGGATATTATTATATTTCTCTTATGATACAAAAACAATTTTGTTTCACAAACCAAAGAGAGTTAAAACAGGGAAAGAAAACCATAGATCAATATTTCTCATGAACACTGAAAGAAAATATATATCAAATAAAATGTAGCAAAGAGGTTATAGGAATATAACACAAAAATTATACTT